CCTTTCAAAAAATTTAATTGTTTTTGCTCCTTCCAAAACGTGCCATAAAAGGACTGTGTGCCTGCGACTGCCCCGCCAGTTTAGTTCAAGAATTACGTGGTGCAGCAGGCCAAACGGTCCTCAGCAAGGATATCCAATTCAGTTTATGCGTTTTTATTGCAGGCATGCAAATTGCAAAAATGCATATTGGAAAGAGGTTGTGTGCGTGTGTGTGTCTGTGTGTTTTCACTTTTTGTCACCCGCTTTCAGCTCAAGAACTAGAAAAGATAGCACACTGAAACTTTGGGAGTATGTGTCCAAACCATGCGCGATCTTTCCATTTTAATTTCATCCTCACGGACGCATGGGCACTGCGTACGGACGCTTTAAAAGAATATGCAATTTTTTTGACGGAAAAGCGATCTTGGTAACCACACGCGCTGAGGCGCTGAAACTTTGCAGGGATATTCCCTGCATATGTACTAACTAAAGATTTCAAATTCAGCCCCCAGGTATGCGTGGTACCCACGTAAGGTCGTATGAAAGTTTCCACGGAAACTTACTAGCTTGGGAACCAGAAAAGCTAGAAAGCTGAAATTTTAGGGAGATGTTCCCCGTCCAAGTACAACTTAAGTATTTCAAATTCAGCCTTGAGGTATGAGTGATTCTTACGTACGGGCACTTATAAGTTTTGGTGGAAAAATTTCTCACTGAACAGCTAGTTACTTTTAAAGAACGACCGTTAAATGGAAGTAGTAAATTTATTTTATGCAAGATTTGTGCTAGTGACCATTCATGCAGTTAATACCTGAGTACTTCAAGCCCAGTGCAAAAACGTATGATCGCACGGGCCCACCCTGTGCGTTCCAGCCTGGGTTAACTTGTGATTTTAAGTTCAAATGATAAGTATCAAAATTAATTTCAACTTCAGAATTCCAATTTACAAAATTGCTAGAGTTAATTTATTCAGAATCAAATTTCAATATCGCTGCACCCCAGCGGAGGCTTCAGACGGTAGGTTAGGCTGATGTCAGTAAAACATTAAAATGAAACATACTGTAAACTAGAAACTTCGATAGTTCATTTTGCTAAACACAGCAATGCCTAAAAATCGGAACCATCTTTCGATCCAATTTCGTCTATGTCGATGTCTTCACTCGATAGTTAATATTCACAATCCTCTTTTTAGGACAAGAAAAAAATGTTCAAGTAAGATTTTCAGGACGTACTTGTACATAACGTTTTCTGGCTTGATGTCGCGATGAGCAATATTCAGTGCGTGAATATGTTCGACGGCCAAGCCAAGATCGTGCATGATGCAAGCCGTATCACGTTCCGTAAGCTGGTAATTCTTCATCCTTTTGAACAAAATACCACCTAAATTATCGAAGCAATAAAACTATGCTTCTTAAAGATATTTGATTCTTCCAACGCACATACATAAAACAGACGCGGAATGATGACTGGAGGCATGTAGTTCAGTATAGGACGGCCTAGCAAAACTGCTCCAAGCGTGTGGTGGCAACCAAATAACATCACTGACATACAATCTCCACAATGATTATCAGGGCAGACTTGGTATTCTTGCTAAGTGATAATTCCATAATCTGTACAATCTAGCTTATGATCTCAAAATAGCCAGGTGCAAGAACACTATCTCAAAATCCAAAAATGCTTTCTCAACTGAAAATTTTATTTATCAAAAATACATACCGCTCATGTATTCCAGAACAACAAACAAGCAACAGCTTCCCCGAAGTTTGTTCTCATAAACATCAACAATTTTGACAATATGAGGATGATCTGAGGCCAGTCGCTGAAGTTCCACTTCTCGCCTTGAGTGAGCAACATTCGGTAGGACCTGAAATTCCAAACAATAACAATTAAAGGAAAGCCGCTACTTTGTCTCTCGATATGTAGGAAATGTTTATGATTATAATTACAAATCATTTCTGGAAATGATGTCAGAAAGAATTAAGCAGTGGTAAGCCAGTACCGTTCAGAGTAGTAGTGTACTACCCCTGTTATTGATGTTACCAGGATTTTCCCACATGCCAAGCGCAACTAGTGCCAAGCCCTTCGATCCTGAGCTCCATGCCTCCAATTAGCACCCACTGTTTGTTCGATGTACACGCACCACCCTTGCGACGATCGCCCGGATGGTCGCTTAATTTCAAGTGGGTACCACTCTCTGATGCACATTGTCCACCAGTTGTCGGCAAGATGAGTGACATGTTCTGCCCATTGAAATTAATTTCCTCTCACGGTCGCAATAATATCCTGCACGCCCCTCATCTGAGGGAGAATCTGATTATTGGGCGTTTTTGCAAAAATGCACAATACAACCCCGGCTGGAACGCACCGGGCGGGCCCGTGCGATCATACGTTTTTGCACCGGACTTGAAGTACTCAGGT